TACCCAAGGAAACTTTTAGGCAATTTTGTTTAAACTGGTCCAGCAGTTCTTGAGAAGATAATATTGTAAAAATTTTACGCCAAAGACAACAACAACAACAGAGATTATAATCAGAAATAAAAGTTTATTTGATCCCACAGATCAAATGAGCTAAAAATAAAGGCTGGTGGTGGTTGGGGTGGGGGGGTGGGGGTGGGGTGGAACACTTGCCTAACAAAATACTCAATATAAAATTGTTCCCATAATTTTGCATTCATAGGGTGAGTTTATGTTAGCAAACTTTTCCAAAGTGCCATGATATTTGGTTCTTGTCGAAGGGAGGGACCAAATCAACGTGAGGGAATGGTTTAACAACATACAAAATATAACGTTTTACAATAGAAATTAACCCTTTGTTTCTCTATATATTTTATCACACCTCTAGTGTGTTTCTTGTTATTTTGATTAGAATAATGATGATTAATTGCTGCCTAGTCCAATTTTGTACAGGCCCATATAGTAATTATGGTATTTGTACCCTGTTTACCCGTTTACCGGTCTGCAACAAGTCTGGTGAGGGTCTATGTGAGTAATTTTCGAACATAATTTGGTTCATTTTTGCATACTCAAAATATGAAAACAGTCATGCATTTTGTAATGGATTTAAGCCTTGAACTCAGTTGTAGTTTTCTTTGTGACCTGGATGGAAGGAAAAATGAAAAAGAAATTTATTTGCAGAGGTTTTCTATAAACTTGACAACCATCCTAGAAAATAAATGTTTCATCCAGGTAGGGCAAACGAGAGAAAAAAATAAACCCTGGACAAGGATTGTACACAAAGAGTTTACTGACTTTGACCTTTCATCTATAAAAATTAGAAAGAACGTTTGCTCTAGACAAGTATATGTTTATGCAAAGAGATTTTCTTACCTTCACCTTTCATCTAGAAAATTGGCTCAATGTCACCGCAAACCCTCTACCCGAGAGGCTTCTAAGTATAAAGTATGAGCTCAAAAGAGTCAAGCGGGGAGAAAATATGCTCTGAACAAGGATTTTACACAAGGAGGTTTTCTTTACCTTGACATTTGTTTGAAAAAAATGGCTCAAGTCCTTGAACACCCTTCGCCAATGTGAGTAAAGTTTGAGCCAGGTAAGGCCAAGGAGAGAGAAGACATACTCTGAACAAAGTTTTCTTATGCAAAGCTATTTTCTGACGTTGATCTTTCATCTAAAAAATTGATTCAAGGTCACTGCATACCCTCTACCCAAGGACGATCTATTGTTTGAAAGAGTTAAATATCAGCAATTATCAACCTTGCCTTTGAATAGTGCATTCAACCAAGACTGAGGCAAAATAGGACTATCGTTTCCCACTGTCACATTTGGGTTGTAGGGGTGCCATTAAGTAGTGTTAAGGTTTGGGACCAAATTGTTAGCAATTTTCTCTTTGTCATCTTTGGACAACATTTAAAATAGCACTGCTATGGGTAAGTATTCTTATTTAGTATATCTTGTCAACTTTTTGAGGGATCTCCGGCTCTCTGGCCCTGGAAGGGACCAGTAGACTAAACCAAACTTTTTTTTACATTGCATTGTGAGATGAAGTTAAAGAAAGACTACTACCTCCCTTACCTTTGAAGTGTAAAAACAACAAAGTTTAGGTTAGCTTACTGGCCCTTTTCCTTCAACAGGACACTTCCAAAACCTGGCAAGTGGTTCTCCCTAAGGTCCTTAACCTTTCACTAGTGTTACTTTGTTCTAGTAGCCAAAGATGCTTTCAAAATGAATGCTTGAAATACGTACCCCACCCATGGCACCACTTGATGGTACCACTACAGCAACATTCTGATAGCGGGAAATGATAGTCCTAGGGGCCCTCTACATTGCCCCAGTAATGATTTGAAGCACACTTCAAAGATAAAGGGTATATTAACTGACCTTTAACCCGTATATTAAAACACAAAGTGAAAAACAACAAATTTCAGGTTAGCTTACTGGCCCTTTTTCTTCAACAGGACCCTTCGAAAACCTGGCAAGTGGTTCTCCCTAAGGTCCTCAACCTTTCACTAGTGTTACTTTGTTCTAGTAGTCAAAGATGCTTTCAAAATGAATGCTTGAAATACGTGCCCCACCCATGGCACCACTTGGTGGTACCACTACAGCAACATTCTGATAGCAGGAAATGATAGTCCTAGGGGCCCTCTACCTTGCCCTAGTAATGATTTGAAGCACACTTCAAAGATAAGGGGTGTAATTGCTGTCACTTAACCCGTATATTAAAACACAAAGTGAAAAACAACAAATTTCAGGTTAGCTTACTGGCCCTTTTTCTTCAACAGGACCCTTCGAAAACCTGGCAAATGGTTCTCCCTAAGGTCCTCAACCTTTCACTAGTGTTACTTTGTTCTAGTAGCCAAAGATGCTTTCAAAATGAATGCTTGAAATACGTGCCCCACCCATGGCACCACTTGGTGGTACCACTACAGCAACATTCTGATAGCAGGAAATGATAGTCCTAGGGGCCCTCTACCTTGCCCTAGTAATGATTTGAAGCACACTTCAAAGATAAGGGGTGTAATTGCTGTCCCTTAACCCGTATATTAAAACACAAAGTGAAAAACAACAAATTTCAGGTTAGCTTACTGGCCCTTTCTCTTTGTCGGGACCCTTCAGAAACCTGGCAAGTTGTTCTCTCTAAGGTCCTCAACCTTTCACTAGTGTTACTTTGTTCTAGTAGCCAAAGATGCTTTCAAAATGAATGCTTGAAATACGTGCCCCACCCATGGCACCACTTGGTGGTACCACTACAGCAACATTCTGATAGCGGGAAATGATAGTCCTAGGGACCCTCTACCTTGCCCCAATAATGATTTGAAGCACACTTCAAAGATAAGAGGTATAATAGCTGACCTTTAACCCGTATATTAAAACACAAAGTGAAAAACAACAAATTTCAGGTTAGCTTACTGGCCCCTTCCTTTCCTAGGGACACTTCCAAAACCTGGCAAGTGGTTCTCCCTAAGGTCCTTAACCTTTCACTAGTGTTACTTTGTTCTAGTAGTCAAAGATGCTTTCAAAATGAATGCTTGAAATACGTGCCCCACCCATGGCACCACTTGGTGGTACCACTACAGCAACATTCTGATAGCGGGAAATGATAGTCCTGGGGGCCCTCTACCTTGCCCCAGTAATGATTTGAAGCACACTTCAAAGATAAGGGGTATAACATCTGACTTTTAATCTGTATATTAAAACACAAAGTGAAAAACAACAAATTTCAGGTTAGCTTACTGGCCTTTTCTAGTCATTGGAACCTGTCAAAAAGTTGACAAAGGATACTCCCTAAGGCCCTTAACTTTTTTCCAGTTTAGTGTTAGTTTGTTCTAGTGGTCAATGATGGTTGAAAATGAAAGCATGAAAGATGTTCCCCACCGTTGGCACCACTTGGTGGTGCCGTTACAGCCTCAAACCGATTGCGGGAAAGATAGTCCTAGAAATCTTCTATCTTGCACAGTAATGATTTAAAGCACACTTATAAGATAAGAGGTATAATAGCTGCTTGAAATATGTAACCCGCTCTTGGCACCACTTGGTGGTACCACTTCAGCCTAAATTTTATGGCCGTATATAATAGCCCTGTGGACCCTTTTACCTTGAGCCAGTAATTGTTCGAAGCACACTTCAAGGATCATAACTTAAAATAGATTAAATTACCTTCAAACCCTTATCAATGTAAATTTTAGGAGTAAGCAAATTTCAGGTTAGCCTCTTGGCACCATCATGTTCCTGAGACCCGTAAAAGAGCCTAAAAGGGATTCTCCCGGAAGTACTTAACCTATCCAATGCTGTTTTATTCTTAAGCGGTCAAAGATGGTGACATTTTCTTCTTTTTGTTTGTTTGTTTGTTTGTTGTGAAACCGCATAATTTTCCTTATGCAGGTGAGCTTAACTGTCTCCAAGTGTTTGAATTATTAATTGATAATTAAGTGTTGCATTAATTATCTAATTATTAATTATAAATTGTCGAAAATGAGGCATTAAACAGTATTGCGTCAGAGTACTCTCAGTCCTTTGATGAATTTCCTTAGTGGCTGCTAGCTTCTACGGGCTTAATGGCTGCTGTTATTGGCTGCTAGCTTCAGTCTAGTTGTGTGACTATTTTATAGGCAAATAATATGTCAGATTTTTGCAAATTGTGAAGATTTTACATAGAGTATACTTTCATACTCAGATTTTATGTGATGTTTACATGTGAATTCGCTTATTTTTTTAATTCAAGCCAGGGGCGTAGCTTCCATTGTGGCAATGAGGCAACTGCCTCACTAGATTTTTCACCACCACCGACCCTTCCCGTAATCAACAATTCATTGCAGATAAAAGGTATAATATTAATGGTATTTCTTTTAACATTTTAAGCAGTTCTTTAATGTTAAATTGAAGTTTTAAAGAAATAAAAGCAAAGTTTAATAAGATGCGCTTTCACCTTTAAATGTTTCAAAAGTTTTAGTAAACATACATGTATTTCTTAACTCTTTTACATTCTTTTACAATATGTAGTATCATGCTGAAGTCTTAAATAAAGAAACCAGTACAGCAAATGAAATTTCATTGCATTTTAAAACCCCCAACTCCATTTTCTATCGGAGTGCCCCCACCCCCCATGACATCAACCGGAACCTGATGGGGGCTTAAGGCGGCCCCAGACCTTTTGCTGCTACATGTATGGTTTTAATTTGCCTCACTAGAATTTAAAGTCAAGCTACGCCCCTGCAAGCTATACTTATAAAGTATATATTTCTACAGAACTAAAACAAACCTTTACAAGAGAAACCGAATCTAATTGTGAGTATTATGATGGACATTATTTTGAGATATAATACACCATCTGTTACACTGCCACGCTAATGTTGGTAAAAAAAAAGAGAGAAATTTCATTTTTTTTAAAATCGTAATTGGGTTGTGACGCAGTTCAGGGGAGTAGTATCAATTAAAAGCTTTGCTAAAGCAAGCAACGTCGAAATCAGCATGTTAAAATATCTGGCTTTGATTCTGTTTGTTGGTATTGTCTATGCTGGTGAGTCATGTGACCGAAAGGAGATGGAAGACACTATATGCAGCCTCTGTGGACAACGGAAAGAAAGTCGACAGAGTGGTATGAACAATAACTTCATAAGAAACTTACTGAACCCTTTTTGTTTAATGAAACACCAGTGGTAATTACATGTTTATACAATCTAAAAATAATTTAAATTGTTTTCTTTGACTAATAAAAATATTCTGCTTAAGGGAAGGTTACAAGTAAAGCCAGGTGTCCCAAAATATGTTATAATTTACAATACTGTATATATACATGATATATAAACAAATATTGCACATGTACTTGTTTATTTCCGTTTCAAGGAATTGCGTTTTATGCCTACATGTCGAACAATGTCATGGTCAAAACATTTTCCAAACACAAAACATTTGTCTATGATCGTGTTGAGACCAATATTGGAAATGGATATGATGCCAGGTCAGGAAAATTTACTGCTCCAGAAAGTGGGGTTTATGTGTTCCACTCCTCCACAACAGCACATAACAAATCTCACTGCACTGTAGAGATTGTACAAAACAGTGCTGTCAAAGATATAGCGTGGGCTGATGCTATTGATCATAACGACAGAGCTTCTGCATCTACAATGACCATTTTGAATTTGAAGAAAGGTGATATTGTCAACACGCGTGTCGGTGTCACTTATGGAGGAAACTTCATGGAAAGCGATATATACACTAGAATGAGTTTCTCCGGATTTAAACTTATGTAAAGTACAAAAGAAATGCATTAAAAATAAATTTTCAAGCTGAAACATACTCGTACATTTATTTATTTATTTATTTTATTTTTTCAAATTTTTTGTTTCTAATTTGTGACGAGTTGCGGGTGTTAAACATGAAAATTCCCAGGACTGGAACTACAATGAGGCACAAATTAGCGATGTATCTAATTAATAATCTCTGATGATATGGAAACCTTTATTTCCAGTCGGTAAGTAGCTTTCATCTTCATTTTTTGAGGATTCCTCATCGAGGTGTCGAAAGTCGTCTGTCGAAGTTGCCAACCTTGTTTTCTTTTAGTACATGAATCAGAGTGTGTGAATTTTTATAAAATGCTAGTTTTAGGTTATATTTTGGATTTTTAAGTTGTAATACTTTGTGAATATGTCATAGAAAATATTTTATTTTAAAAAGTCAAAGAACCCTTGGGGTACGGAACACGGGTGTGTGTGTGTGTGGGGGGGGGGGGGGTCCCGTTCCCAAGCACCTGTGCCTTATATGGCTATTGTTATTATTTTACACAGAGTTGCTTACCGAGAACAATTGTCCAATCCGAAGAATGAATGTCAATGCATGTCAGTTTCCTACATGTTTACATTTTAAATATTACAGACACGTGATTCATGCAGGTCAATTTACACATTATCTTTACTACATCAAAAACTTTTTAAAAATGGTCAACAAAGGCCTTTAATGCATGACAATGTGCATGGAGCCTCAGTTTCAAGAAAACAAATAAAATTTGTATATATTCACTGATACACAGTAGTACATATAAGAAATTGTCCACCAATCGCCTTATCAAAACTATGTAATTCTACAATTTACATTTATAAAACAATTGATTGTAACTGTAAGCATAGATATTGTAGATTCGTATTTAATCTGTGACTGAAATGGATGAAAAAATAGTCTTTCAGAAAGGTACTTTAAAAAATGGCCTTTTTTGAAGCTTTAAATTTTCATGGTATTTTTTAGTACTTATGCGTAATGCAACTCATCTAGCTCATTGGTCGGTTTGAAAGTGACGTCTGTGCCTCTATTACTTATTCTTAAATACAGTGACCAGCCAAGAGAAAAATGTACTTACTTGCGCTATTATATTTTTGATCTACTTGTGATTTACCAACATCAGCGTCAAGAAGTAAAGCATTATATAAATATTAATCATTGTACATGGAATATCTTTAATCCTGTTTGAAAGACTTTAATACTTATATTGCATACTTAAAATTGCTTAATGATAAAGAAATACAATGAAATACGACTTCTAGTAACTTGGTAAAGGTTTACATTTACCGAGATTGGGAAAATATTCTGGGGCTTCACACACATATACCCTTTATTACTTTTTTGAAGCTTTGCTTTGTCGACAAGAAACGTCATTTTAACCATACTATCAAGCAGATGGAACACACAGAATGCATTCTGTGTAGTAAAACATAAAGGAAGCAGACGAGTAGGAAACTTGTATAGCATTCCAAATAAAGCTGTAATTTAAGCATTTTGTAAATGTTGCATATTTTTGAGAAATTAAGAGGGAGTATGTCATCCACTTTAGATGACCAAAGTTTCTTTCAATTTTCCAAATTCCCCACTGCTCTGGGCGAGACAATAAGATCGTATAACAAATTTCGAACAGAATTGCTGTAATAAATGAACATATTTTCGATACATCTTATACAGTTTCATTAAAAGAGGGTGTTGCAGAAACTCGTGATTATTCCCTAAATCGAGAAGGAGATTTAACTGTTTAAATACCCACGACGCATGAATAGTTATGTCTAAATATAGATAATACTTTATTTATACGAAAGGTATGTCCATTTGTTATAACAAAACATTTCACATTTTAAGTTTATTTCATGCATATTTTTTCCTAACATAGACTGGCGACCTGTAAGTAATCTTTTTTCACATCTATGGTCACTGTCGCCATATTGCACGAGAAAAGTTAGAACGATAAAAAGCACAATTAATTACAAGTGCACCTCGCACATCATTTTGAAAGATGCACTGTCGACAGCATGCGTTAATAATTTTCAATATATAAAAATGTGTCCAATAATCACGATTTTGATGCAATATATCCAAGAAATTCCATGGAGTCATTTCAATTTCGTTGTTTCAAGTCAAATCTGAGCCACTAATTAACAGAATGATAATGAAACGAAATGTGTATGAAAAAATTAAATCATTTAAAATGATTGTACTTTATTTTTTAAGACATCACCACTAAATAATAACATTAAATATATGTCATATTAGTTTTAGATCACAGTATCAGGGGAAACAATTTAATTCTCCATGCATTTAAAATATTACTTATTAACTTCCCGACATTCTCTACCTCTCTCTCAAAAGAGATGTTACATTGTACTTCCATTATATAAGGAAAAAAATATGTATATATATAACAGCCATTCCGAGATTCGAATCCATTCTCAGGTAAAAGAATCTGTGCATTGAGTCCACACGCTTTACCACTAGACCAGCTCCGAAAGTGAAATAAATGTGCACATTTTGCATTCCGGATGGATAATAATTTTTATTCGATTTTTGTGATTTTCAAAAATATGCTTCCTTGAAACAAAAATCGGAAACGACAGTTTTGAAGAAAAATCCTGTCTCTTTATGCGGATATCAAATTCATTTTGTTTCAAGGAGGCAATTTTTCAGAACAATGGGGATTCCCTATTTGAAAAACAGAAAACTTGACTTACATTGTATTTTGCTACGTGACTAATTTACACTTCATTTAATGGCAAATTGGAAGTCGATATGAGTTTCTAAATATTGTTCTACATTGTGCTGTATATTGTGTTGTATCTGAAAAAATTGAAGACCGTTTTCTGTTACTTAAAATTTTTCTTTTAAACTGCTACAACTTTAGGGAAGATAACAAAGAACTGCAACACCCTCTTTTACAAAATGGAGTTACATGTACGTAAGGCAAATGATTTGCTAATTACTGCCATCACAGTAAACTAGCTAGCTTCTCGCTTCCTTTCCTACCTTGACCATTTTGAATTTGAAGAAAGATGTTATAAACATAACTAAGGGTCACGAACGAATACCTCAGTTACTACGAACGTATCTAGCAATACAAAAGTCCAACTCTGGATATTTGATACATATAACTTCGAAATAAAACAGTGTTTCGTAAAAATGTTTGTGAGTGTATTATACAATATGTCCCTCCACTAATACTGTGCAGATACTAAAAATCCAGAATTGCAAACAAATTTGAAAATATCATACTCATTTGCGTAACTCTGATACATGTAGGTAACATATACATATATATACAGTGAGGTCGCCGATAACGAATCACTTAGTAAATTTGCTTTGATAGTTCGCACCCGAGTTCGAGTTAAATTCATAATACAACATTGTTTGGTGGTACCATGCTTGACTTATAACATCATATCTTTTTTCCCCAACAACCACTGATTAAATAAAAATTATCGCTGTATTTGGATGAGTGATGTTTTCTCCTTTAGCGGATCATTTTCTCCATTTCCGAATCACGTGACATACAGCTGATTATTTTTGTTATGGACTGCGTAAAAATGCCTTTTTTACGTTTTACTATGCCTTAGAATATAAAGAAGAAAAAAAGAAAGGTTTATAATTTTTTTTTGAGTAGTGTTCATTTTATTGCACCCGACAATTGATGACAAAAAACAACGTGAATTCATTAGGAAAAAAATGACTAGTTGATATAGAGCAACTGCCTCTGATCCACCGAAAAAAATCAATTAGTTTCAAGCCATTCTAAGTTGTCATTTTTGTTAACTTTATGAGATACATAAACAATTTTTCATATAATTACAAATTCAAAGACAGATAAATGGATACAGAAAACCCATATATACAAAATAACCAATTATTGAATAAGACAGCTCATTCTCCTTTGCTGCTTTCCTAATTGGTTGATTATTTTTACTCATCATATAGTGCTCTTCGGACTTTCTCCCTTTTCCATGGAGACAGTGGCGTATATAGGCAAAAAGGATGTAGCCTACACGTCATTTTCTCAATGTGTAAAAAAATAAAATTTAAATATGTATACTAGTATATGGTTGAAATGGGGGGGGGGGGGTGTCATAAAACTTTGTTTATAAATTATTCAGCTTCATGTCGAATTGAAAAGGTAATGTTAGCAAATTGCATTTTACATTATACGAGCTTGATCTTGATCATGACAAGAAATAAAAATTGATAATTGGAAATATTTGTTATTAGGAAAACTGAAAAATGGGTATTGTTGGAAATCATATGATTCAGAAAGAAAGTTTCCATATTTATCTTAGCACTGTAAAGTCCCAGATAAATTATATGGGGATATAAATAAATTTCTTAATTTCATTTTGTTTAATAATCTGACGATATTTTTAATTTCACAATTACAGAAACTATGTTAACATTGTATTTTCATATTCACCGGTCAAATGACAATCATAGATCTCTTCAAGTTCGCAGAATATTATTTTTTAATTTTCTCACTTCTATATCATGAATGAATGCGATTTTTTTTTATCTTGGGTTGCCCCCCCCCCCCTCCCAACGAGAAGGGGTGATTGCTTCTTGCATCTACCCCCAACCTGGTGCTGCATCGTCGATGTCTATGACTTAACATTAGATTACACATAATTATACACCACTCGGAGATATTCTCTTTTCACATGTTCTGCACTTCTTAGTGTTTTTGGTGGCTGACTTTTGATTTTGTGTATTTCCACCACCTTTATTGTGCATTTTTTTGAGACATATCTTAATTAAAGTCCATATGATTATTTAATGTCAGTAAAAGAATGAAAAAGAAAGAAATTATTTTGAGCTAACGTTATATTTTAATGAATTACAGTATTACAGGGAAACCAAAATATCGTTTAAATTATAACTGAATGGAGAATGTTTCTACGAACGGGAAATGAAGTGCATTTTAACTTCTCTTTTTTTATTTTATTGTAACAGGTGTGCAAAAAACCGCATGCAAAAAATTATAATTTTGACAGGATCCCTGCATCTCATAATTCTTGAAGTAGTGGTTCGTAATTGGAAACTTAACTACCTCTAACTTTATAGCTAATACAATTATTCTCTGATTAAAGAATCGTATGACGCTTTCAGTGCTTTTAGACACATAATTTTATTAAACATCTGTACCAAATTTGCTTCCCTACAATGTACCATTCACATTACAGCACAACCGAAAAGTGAAAGTAGTCTGCTGCATGCACGCTTGTAGTCTGCGTCATGAAAAATCTTGTTCATGTTTGTTTTAAAAATTACGACTTTGAACAAGTTGAATTTTAATAATTTTACGATAAATAATAAAAGCAAGAATAATTCTGCTTGAAAGGATAGGTTAAGCTAAGTATTGGACCTTGATCAGAAAAATACAGAATTTTTATCTGAAAGTGATTCGTTAACGGGGGCGATTCGTTATTGGCAACCTCACTGTATTTTATCTAGGTAGTACGGACGCAAAGACTTCGTACAATTTTTCGGTTATATACATCTTTTCCGTCTGTAACAAAAAGTTTGTCATTTGTTTTGAAAGACCTTTAATGAACAATATATTAGAAGTTACATATACACTGTAATTTATAGAACAAAAGTAAAATTTTAATTCACTTATTTTTAAGATACATCTATAAGCATGATTTTGTAATCTACCCATTTACAATTTAAACAGTAAATACTATGAAATGTGTATTAATATTGTAATTATTTTACCTTCCATCTATCACAAATTAAATCCTAGCTTCCAAAGATACAGATTATGTATGGAATTTATAACTTCATTCTTGAATCTTGATATATTTTTCTATCTCAATGTGACTGTTCTGAATAATTCTTAGAAAATAATTTATCATAATCAAAGCTTGGATTAACATATTTCTCTGCATGAAACTACAAGTAATTAGATTACACTGTACATGGTACATCTGATCATCTGGTATCTTATACAAAACATATGCACACCTAATTACCTGACAAAGTTTATTTCAAAATTTCAAAATACAATAATTATAGCAATAAGTACACTATACATTGAACCTAAAACAAATAAATAATACAATAACCAACAATCGTGTGACCTAAAATGTACATCAATAAATCTTTTAAATAACAACATAATTAAAATACGCAATACATGTATATCACAGCTAATTCAAATATATATTTTTTTTCTTTACATGTTGACAGAACACTTCATTAAAAGGGACAGATGCATGCATACTATTGTATAAGATTCAACACGTCCTTTCTACAATGACTTTTTTTTTAATAAAATGAAGACAAAAACTGAATGTTAAAAAATTTTTATGAATGTGGTAAATATGATTTTACTGCAGTCCTCAAAGTTTATGATAAAAAGCTAGCAATTTTTTACCTTAATTGTCATATTTTGTTGTATTTTGTTTTACATATCAATCTTCTACTATTTTTCATACAATAGAAAGGACACAATTTTAATTTTCTTCACAAAATTAATAATTCAATATGACTGATTATGAAAGACAAAATCTGATTAAGACTCCTTAAGGTAAGAATACATTATTTATATTCTGATATCTGCATACAATTGAGGTTACATTATGCACATTTCAAAAACATTAATTATTGCACCTATTTATATCATTACTAATGTTGATTTTCAATCACAGTCTAATGGATTAAAATCTCCACAAAGAAGTTTGTACTTGTTTTCACATGAAATTCCATATAAGATATCAACCAGTCAACACATGTATGATACAGTTGTATCAACCAGTAAACACATGTATGAATGTACATACTGATCAAAAAGTTCAGTTTCAATATAAGAATGTAAAAGCTCTTATAATTTTGAAATCTGGTAAATGGCTCCATTTCCTTGTTGAGCAGGTTTGATGTACTTGTGGTAGGAATCAAGCACCTATTAAAATAATCTATAACTGTCTAAAATGGACAAATGCTTCCACTGGGGGGTGGGGGGCATGATTGGAATAAACTTGAATATACATTACCTTTGTCTAATCATGGCTCTAGTAGATTTTGCATGATTTTCCCCTAGATGTTTGAACTTCTATTGAGGCCTTGTCCAACCCCCCCATGATTTGAACAGACTTAAATCTACACTATCTGAGAATGCTTCTGAATTACTTTGACTAATTTTAGCTTTGTCGTTCTTGAGAACAAAATTTTTATTGATATATCCTTTACAAAGTATATTCTTTTGTGTAACTTTGATCCCATTATGCCCACACCCCTAACCTGGAGGGTCATGATTTGAACAAACTTGATTCTACACTACCTGAGGATGTTTCCATCCATATGTTGAATATGACCCAATCCTGTTGCATGGCTTTGCTGTTCTTGAAAAGAAGATTTCTATTAAGATTTTTCCAATTGAATGTATTCCTTTGTAAAATCTTTTAAAACCCTCATTGTGGCCCCAACCTACCCAGAGAATCATAATTTGAACAAATTTTATTCTATAAATGTCTACACTATACTACCTGTGGATGCTTCCATATACACTGTAAATGTAATGGTTTGGGCCAAGGATATCAGCCTGGGTAGCTCAGTCAGTAGAGCATCTGACTAGTGATGCAGGGGACCCGGGTTTGATTCCTGGTCCAGCCATATACATTTTCTCCTTTCCTGTTACAGATTTGGTGCAATTGACCACCCCTGGACTTGCAGGTGAAAGTCCTGCCAGGGGAAAATAAGAACTTGGGTTGTGTCTTCGAGGGCGAAGACAATTTAAGGAGGGAGGAATGTAATGGTTTGGGCCATGGATATCGGCCTGGGTAGCTCTGTCTGTAGAGCACCTGACTAGTGTTACAGGGGTTCTGGGTTTCGATTCCCTGTCCAGCCATATACATTTTCTCCTTTCCTGTTACATAAATATGTCCAAAGGCAAACATGGCTTTGCAGTTTCTGAGAAGAAGATTTTTAAAGCTTCTTCCAATCGACCAATGTCTTCCTATGTAAAACTTTGATCACACATTGTGGCCTTGCTTTAACCATGGGGGGTCAATTTTAGGGCTCAATCAATCAAGATGTATTAAATAAACAAGTAAACCCATACAGCATCTTATTCTTATTGGACCTGTAACATACACCCACATCGTACTCCATTAATAATACATGTATACATGTAATTCATCTTTTTATAAATGTTTATACATGTACATGTACTTAAATTAGAACAAGTTCATACTTCTATAGTAATTGAAAAGCATGCAAGAATTTTTTCAGGATTTTCCTTATTATTCTGCATTTGTAGTTGAAAACTTCGTTTAAAGTATATGTAGTTTCTCATCTTTCTATCACTGAAATGTACATGATGTCACAGCAGTATGGCGCCGAAATCCGATTGAAATATGCATATCCCCATATTCAGATATTTGAACTTCAACTCTAAATTATGCTTTAAATATGCTTACAACAATGTTTATTGTATTCAGTATTTTAATGGACAAGGTCATAGATAATACTTTTTAAAAAAATACTATTTTTTGAAGATCATGCGACAAATCCTTTAATGGATGAAAAACTGAAGTACTAGGTTTGACCCTCTACATCTCCTATGCGTCATTTGGCCTTTCAGTTTGACCCAAGGGGTAAATTTCAAAGTGTATGGGGATCAAAACTGAATGATGTGAAAAATGACATTTAAATAGACATTCGTGTTTTGCCTCAAATTCAGTTTCAAAATATGGTACATTTGTATCCCTTGTCCGCATTATGTTTGGTTAACACTGATAGGTAAGGGGTTAGTTGAGTCTTATAGTAACATCTATGAGAGATTCTTACTAACGCTATGAAATTTAATTTTTTTACCTCTTTCTCATTTAATGGCGAGCTTTTGGCATACTCATACAAAGCCTGATAGACCTGTCCATCATATCGTCCCAAACAGCTCTGGAGTACCTCGTCAGGGTAATCGAATGCATCCACAAACGCTACAGCATTGGGTCTGATCTCTGCCAATAGCTCCATCAATTTATTTTGCAGAAGGCTTACTTGATTACAGTCGAAGAATCCATCCTTGAATGTGGAAATTACATAGAGCATATTTAGATAGGAATAAAATTTGTAGTTTTTTTAATCTTCCATGAATGTTTGCATAGACAAAGTAAGCATCAATTGAAATTAGAATTTATCATACAGTTATGTCTTTAAATTTATTCATTTTTTATAGAGAAAAACTTACTTTAATCATGGAATGCTTAGATCAATCTTTAAAATTTTAAATTTGTACCTGAATAAATCCCCCAAGATTCTCAACAATACCATGAACAGCATACAGCTTACACAAACCAGTCAGAGCTGACCTCACTTTGGCATCCATCTTGGAATTAGTTATTGTCTCTACGAAATGTTTTGTTACAAATGCATGGCAATGGGCCTTAAAGAAAACAATAATAATATTTTATTATTTGAGTAAATAAATAACACATTACACACATATGGCCACATAAATTTAAAATTTAGATTCTCATCCTAATTTACTTAAAAATTGGGGTGGGTTGGCGGCCTTTTTTTTTAAAATTACTATTGAAAATATCTACATAACGCTCTTCTTACATAAAATTTTCACCTAGTGAATGCCAATGTGGATAGATTTTATTGTTTATTCTTTTTAATACAATGTATCTACAGATTGAAGATTCTTCTTATGTAAAATATTTACAGTGTTAATGAATTTTCCAGTACGGCACATGCCAAATGCAACTGCTGCTATGAAATGGGGTGCAGATCCAAATAAATTGCACATACTGTTGCTGTACGTGGTAGTCACGACTTCTTATTGGCCTCTCTCCAAATAGCTTCTAGTTTGACCAACAACTTTTGTTGTTTTTTGTGAGAATATCACAGATTTCCACTGTCCTAATATATTCATGCTTGAGACTTGACATGTTCAATATTAACATTTTTGCAAAACACCATGTCTAAAATTTTCTATATAAACGCCTATGCTGAACAGTTTTAAGATTTACTATTTCCTTAGCACTATTAAAATATCCTCAAAAATCTGCCAACGAACTTTTTTTAAACAACCTATCATTAATATTACCAGCTGTAATTTTCTTCGTCTATAAATTTTACTTTTGTTCAAATCTCTTTAAAAACTTGCTGATGGCAGTGATGGTATTTAGATGTATTAAAATTTAATATTTATGTTATTTTTGCTTTTTCTGCCTTCTCTATACTGGCTTATTATCTTTATCCTACATGTTTAAACTGCTTTTCTTGTTGATTTTTCTCCATTCTTCACTTGGCTCTTGTGCTATAGATAGTTTTCAATAGGCATGATTTTAGCATGAGTTATTTCCCATTGGTCGCTTTATTGGAGGTCAACAAGCCCAGATTCCTTCATTATTCAACCAATTTAAACTTTCATACTGGGCAATGAGGTGAAGATAACACAATTTTTCTTATGAATACATGTTTACAAAAGTTTCCTTTAATTCATAATTTTTAGCACTTTAAAGATTTTTGCCCTTATATTTCTGCCATACATGTTTAAAATTGGTTGTTGAAAGAGGAAAATTCACTAGTTTGACCTCCAAGATGGCAGCCAAGGCAAATAACTCAAAGGGAAAATATGTCATATGAAAAATATAAATAAATAGCAGCAAGCGACTTTCAATACAAACGGGATGATAACTCTTAAACTTTCACTGTGATTCTAACCAAGTGAAACATAATACATGTAAATACTTTTGAAACCAAACAACCAAAATAAAAAACTGGGTGGGAACATTGAGAGGGGTGGGCGGGGATGAGAATCTAAAATTTGATTTTACCTGCCCTATTAATACAAACTAATGTACATAAAAACACTGGTCTTATAATACACTATGTGCTTATTTCAGCTTCTTAAGCATTTCCCTTGATAAATATTACCAAATTTACATTGTTCAGACTGAAAACAAAACAACAATTTTTCTTCAGTACTCACTGTAGCTGCCCACGTCAGCATTACTGTAGAGCCAATCCAAGCCTCCATGGGAGATTTTCCACATTGTACTAAGTTCTGCATGTTTGCAGCTGCATCTCTTATCATTCTACAAGTCCCCAAAAAAGACATGTTATACATCTGCTGCTATGATGTTTCTTGTTATTGATATTAGGGAGAAACTTTTCTCTGATGACAAAGTTACACCATTATCTCATTCTAAAGGATTAATTAGTACACATGAGATATGTAAATAAGGAAATGCCTAATTTCCTTGCTAGTCGCCTGTGTGGCGCAGTGGTTAGAGCGTCTGCTTTAGAGTCGGGGAGTAAGGAGTTGATCCTTACATCTGGTCCTTCGGATGAGACCATATAAACTGAGGTCCCCTGTCGCAGTAGGTGCTGGCACGAAAAAGATCCCTCACTGCCCAATGGCCCTGAGTGCTGAGTACAGGTCAAAATTTGCAGCTCTCCACCAACAAGTGGTGGCATCTCCATATGAGTGAAAAATTCTCAAGAGGGACATTAAACAACAAACAAACAAAATTACCTTGCTGCTCTGTGTTCATACGCCATAACTAAACATTTCAGGGCCACTTCCTCTGTCATGCATGACCTCTTATTGAGGTCAGTGGTTAAATACTGCATAAAACTTGGAAGTGATTCTCCATTTTGCATCTTCCCATATATTTTCATCAAAAACCTTCAGAGAAAATATGTATATCATAATACCATGTACATATATGCATACATCAAATGCTAAAAAATACATGTACTATAAAAGAAAAACAAACCAAGATTTCTTACCTGGCCACTTGAAGCATCATGACATTGTTTTCTCCTTCATAGGTACATCCAGGAACACAGTCAATATAAATCTTGGGAAGACCACTAGCATGGGAGTAGCCATGACCCCCACAACAAAGACGACAAGTCTCCACCCCAGCAGAACATGTCCAGGAGCTAAAGGCTTTCAATCCTGCAGAAATGGCATGGAGCTGAAAAGGGTAAGCAATTTGCCTGGTTATATATTTCAGGCATTCTTATCTCTGTAATGAATAGAACAAATAACCTAGTGTACAATGAAATGTTTTTCTGAGGGAATCTTCAATCTGATGGCTACAAGATTGTTTTGAAAACTGGATTTTGAAAGTTTTTTATACTGTGTATATATAAATAATGTGAAAATTGTAACCCTAATTTTTTTTCCTCACCCTGATTATAAGGACTTTATTTCATTTGTATTTATAATCAAGTAAATACTAGATAGTAATGCGACCTATTGTAAATGGACAAGATTTGCCTCCAAGATTATTGAAAATACTGTAAATGAACATAAATTATTGCACTCAAATTTAGCTCAGTCTTCCTATCAAACTGATAAATAAAATCATAAATAAGTGCAACTGAGTCTTGAAAACAGCAAGTAATTGTTTATGCATCAGTATGTACATGAATTGACAAAACATGAAGCAGTGCAAAAGGTGCTAAAATATGATTACAGCTAAAATAATTATGTTTAAAGTATTTCCATTTACATTTTTGTAAGTAAATTATTAGATCTTAATTTGTACTTCAGACCTTTTTCTGAAGAGGGCAGTAGGCATTTTTTGAATAAAACAGAATACAGAGTACATTATATGAGAATGCCTGCCTATCCAATTGCATAATGGTACTCTAGATTCCTTATTTTTCGCGAAATGGCTCTTGAGCGTCAAATCGCGAGAACAATAATTCGCAAGTAGACGGTTCATCAAGAGATTTTACTTTGATTTCAGCACCATAAAAATAAAAGCGAGTAATTTTATTTCACAAGTGGTGCTTCTCACGAAATTACGCAATAATTAATTCCTTGAGTATATTTAGGAATCTACAGTAGTCATTTATTTGCTAAAGGCTGATTATTAAATAATTTTTTCTAGAAGTATTCATTGGTAAAAATATGACCACATAAATGATACTCATTTATAAAAAGAAATTTTGACTAGTTGACTAGGGGACGGAGGTCCCGTCAGTCATATGACTGAGGTACAAATCACATTCCTTGCACTAAAGTTTAAACACATGAATATAGACTTCATGAAAAGGTTTTTAATCTATTTATAGACTTCACAAAAAGGTTTTAAATATAATCTTGTTTGAATTATACACCTTATTTAACTTCTTATATGTAATATGTGCCCATATTTTCCTTTCTCTTTTTTTCAACTGATGATCCTATATCCTAAAGTAAAACATACAAGTACATGATGCAAGAATAAATCAAGTTTGCATTGAATTGGTTTAGTGGGTTTGGAGAACTAAACAAAATAACTAGAATTGTCTCATTATAAACCACATTATTTATTCTCTGTGTAAAAGTATTATGCTTCCAGTCTGAAGAATCCAGAAAAATAAAATCAGTAATTCTATTTCTTATGTTGAAATTCATATGGTTCATTTTTTTTTTTTTTTTTGGAATGATCAAGTATTTAAAATTACCTGAGGCATGGACTCTAGGTTTCCAGCTTCAATTTCAGCTGTAGCTTTCAGATAGAAATCATACATAAACCTCCCAGCAAAATACATAGCATAAGAAGTGGCAAGTAAGGGGAATAACTTGTACTGCTGAGTTTGATAGTCTAAAATCTGTGCTTCTTCACCTCTGTTAAATAAAATCCAACAATGAGAAAAGAACTATTGTAACCTACAGTGTACATTTGATACACATTTTAATTCTACAACTAAACAGAAGTTAAATAAATCAATCCTTCAAGAATATCCTGGTGATTGTTCAATTGCATGTCCAGTTTCTTTAAAATTGAGATAATCACTAATTGAATTAATGTCGGGTCAAAGTCAGAAGAAAGTCAAGGTCAAAAAGTGTTGGATGCAGTTGAATAGCTCTCACCAATATGTATCAGCATATTAGGTTTGATTAAAATATCTTGAACAGTTTCTTTGAAACTGAGCTAAACACTAATTTAAGAAAAGGGAGGTCAAGGTCAAAGGAAATGTCAAGGTCAAAAAATTAAACGCAGTTGAACAGTTCTCATCAATATGTATAAGCAAATAAGGTTTGATACAAATATGTCAAGTTTCTTTGAAACTGAGATAATCACTAATTGAATTAATGTCAGGTCAAAGTCAGAAGAAAGGTCAAGGTCAAAATGTCTTGGTTGCAGTTAAATAGCTCTCATTTATATGTATCAGTATATAAGTTTGATAAAAATATCTTGAATAGTTTCTTTGAAACTTAGCTAAACACAAATTTAAGAAAAGTGATGTCAGGGTCAAAGGAAAGGTCAAGGTCAAAAAAATGTTGATGGAGTTGAATAGTTATAACCAGTGGGTCAGCATATGAAGATAGATAAAAGTATCTTGAAGTTTCTTTGAAACTGACCTAAATGCAAAGTGTAATGGAAGGACAGACGGAAGGACAGAAGGACGGAGGGATGGAAGGATGGAAGACAGGATATGGCAAACACTATATGCCCAAGCCATATTTATGGTGGGGCACAAAAATTTTCCAAGGTTATGTTATGGCTGTAATTCAATGTTACAGTAGCTACAATAGGTACCAAAGTAGTGACAAGATTCAAAATCATATTAACACACCAAAAAAGAGAATATCTACTACTTTCCTCAAAAAATCTATAAGAATAATGAATTACTAGATAAATAATGCCTTTTTTATAAGTATACCCATCTTAAACAAACGTACCCTGGAGAGACCTCTGTTTGTCTTCTGACGGCACTGTATCGAATGGAAATCACACAGGCCTGGGCCAGGGCACGAGAGGCATCAGTTACAATGGCAGCTCTCACCAGCACCATGGAACCATACGCAATCTTTGCATTTGGGGGCTTCACAAAAGTACCGTCTTCTAATACCTGACCAAAAGAAAACTTATCACTTAATGCATTGAACATTATACATGCATAGGTCAGATAAAAAACAGCTAGTGACATTGTTGGTTATTAACTGTAAAGTGATTAAATATACCTTGGAGTATCTCATGAGCATGTTTTCTCTGGGTATTCTAACATTGTTCAGTCTTAAGTAGCCATTATCATTAGTACCATATCCAAACTTTGGGCCAATGTCACCAACTTCTATACCTACAGAAAAGTTTTACAAATGCTTATAATCCAGTGTTTCTCCTTTGATTTGGAGCATTAATAGTTCTAGCTGTACCAGGAACTATATTGTGGTTACTTATATCATGTTGATAGTTTGCACTATGAAAGCAAGAGACAAACAATAAACATAAAATGAGAACAATTTTGACAATGATAAATAACATTCTGTTTGAAGTCTCATTTTATATTCTGAATTACACCTGAACAATTTTCTCTATAAAATAAACACAACATGTACTATATAATCCACTCCTGTTTGCTACTTTACAAACCTGGCAGAGGCCTATGTGTCTCAAGGTCCCGTATTTGCACCATGAACATATGTATTCCACAGTTTTTTCCTTGTGTGAAGAGCTGAGCCATAACAAGGCAGTGGTTTGTTGTCTTTCCCACTGAAATCAGTTTTACATCATGAATAAACCAACCAGAAAGAAGTATCTGTCATAATCTCTGTACATCTTTACAGACATGTAAATAGTGGTGATTTTAAATATACAGTTGAACTTCGGTATCTCGAACATAGATATCTCGAATACCATGGATATATCGAAGTTATTTGGAAGTCCCAAAAACTTTTTCTTTTAGTATTTTACCCTCAATATCTTGAACCCTTGGATATCTCGAAGTTTTTTCTCGGTCCCATCGAGATAACGAGGTTTGACTGTACATGTATACAATTAACATCAATAAATTTACACAAAAACCTTACCATATATACATTACAAACATAATTTTTCTAATGATCCTCATTTATGCATATTTATACGCATTTTAACTTATTATACTTTCATGTAAAATACTGAAGTCTATTGGTTTAGATCCAATAACCAACTTGTAATGTTACCCTTAGCAAAAGCAACAACTTGGCAACGGGTAAAATAGTGTTAATGTCACATTTTGCCCTAGATTTCCCAACACATCAGATACGTAGTTGAAAGTAAGCCACAATACAAAACATTGATAAAGCTCTAGTCTGAGTAGGATGGATTGCAAAAACAACAAAAAGCAGAAAATATTTGTGAGTATAAAATTACAAAATTATTGAAGGATAAAGACTTTGCTAGTACTGAAAGAACACTTGAAAGGTTGATGAATAATTTCTGAAGCTTTGTTATTGAAAAAAAAAAACATTAAAGCCTTTCAAATAAGATCTGATTTTAAATGACAAATTCCAACTTTTTTTATTTCAGTATAATAAAAAAAAAATAGTGCTTGTTTTCATGGTTTTGGAGGGAACATCCCTAGAGAAAACAATTATCAACCTACGCTGACATGTCACTTTACAATGGTTTTCTCTTGGGGTGTCATTTTCAACTGTTACCTCCCAGTTTATATATATATATATATATATATATATATATATATATATATATATATATATATATATATATATATATATATATATATATATATATATTTATATAATGTTTGTTTTAAAAATCTGCAATTCTGTCCCTTACATGACTAAAATACAAATAATTTTATCTACATCTGTATATATACATACAATTTCCTGGCCAATATTTCATGGAGGTAATAGTGGGGGAGTTGAGGACAAATTCCTTGGTCTTTGGATCATATGTTGAGGTTGTTTCTAACCCTCTTATGAATGTACCTGTATAAACACAGTTTGATATAATCATGAAGTCAATAATAAGCAAAGGGTATATAAGTAAAATTAAAAATAAAACAAACACAGTAACAATACACGTCTTAAGCATCAAATCTCTTGATGTAATCGGAATAACATTTCTAGGATTTTATATGATTGGAGAGTCAGTGGATTCTCTTACCATGGCCCATTTCTGTTTGAGCATATGTTCCAATCATTTTTAGGCTTTCTGCTAAAGGCAGCCATCTTTCTTTTTGTTCTTTTGTTGCCTGTTTTTCTATGGTGGGAATAAACATCACTGTGTGGAGGCCAATAGGACTGTTCTCATGTGGAGTCATGGCTCTGCATGAAAACAAAATTAGTTTACAAAGCACACTTTTTTTTTATGCATGTACTATCTTTACTAATTCTTGCAATGTAGTAACTCTGATAATTTGGTTATTGGGTACCATGAAAACAGTATCTATCTCAAAGGGCCCTTACTAAAGTGAAATGAAATCAAGGGCTAAAGAAAAGGTCATGACAAGATTAAACCAAGTCTCTGAAGAGACTGTAGCTCTACTGGTTTGTACTTGTAACAAAGGAAGAGAGAGGTAGCACTTGCACTTGAAACTGGAAATACCAATGAATAAAATTATGATTAAGTCTCTTTGTGTGGCAAGTTTTATTGAAATAGGACTAAAAATGTAAGAGAATTAGCTGAATTTTACCAAAATTTCTATTTTTAGTAACTATAGCAAAATTAACAACCAGCAGGTGTTGAAATTTTTCCTAGATAACCCACTTGCCCAGGGGCTACTGATTAGTGAAAAATTACTCGCCCAAACCTCAAACTAACTAGCCCAACAATTTTTTTTATGCAAAATGAAAACATAACAAGTTAAAGTTTCAAACGCTTTGGTGACAGAAACAAATTAAACTAGTTCTCAGTTGAAAGAAACCAGTCTACATAGAAAAGTGAAAGTAAACTGATGAAATTTTTTTTTCTGTTGTGCTAGTCTGATGGACTATACTATTGGTACATTTAAAGATTTACAGTCAACTCATACCCAAACCGAGTCGTACCCAAACCGAGTCGTACCCAAAGAGTTAACTCGTATCCAAAAGCTGAAGTCAACTCGTACCCAAAACTGAAGTCATTCCTACATAAGGTTTTCCTATGTGATTTAATGCAAAATTTTCCTGTGCACAAAAAATGAGGAGGCAACTCGTACATAAAGGTTTTTCCTATGAATTTTATGGTCCCGAATTTTACCTATACCAATATGTAAAAATTTTTAATTAATGGTATATCATATTATTGTATACAATTTCCATAAAACTTATCCAATAAAAAACTTAAAATAAACTTACATTTTTGCTGCAGGATAAACACAATTCTCACACTATGGTGAACTTTTAGGAATGAAAAAGAGCTAGGTTCACTTTATGCATATAATGGCCCTGTAGATATACCGATTTATTGACTAACAATTTATGATCCATTTTAAACATCAAGATAAAGTAGAGACTTAGTGCTTTCGTTTCCTTTTAAAAATTTTCTCCTTAAAGCCAAGGTCTTAGAAAATAGGTGTCATGGAATTGCAATGTTCTTGAATTTTAAGGAAAACAAGTATATTTGAGAAATTTCACAGAAGAGAAATAATATGAGCGCACCCTCTGATCTAAAAAATAAAACATGTTTTGTAATCCTCAGAAATAGTTCTATCATTTAATAGTTGCATATTTTAGATCAGAGGTTGCGTTCTATATAAAGTATCGAAAAATAGCTTTAAAAATTTGCTGTTTTTGTAGAATTTTTCAGGATATGAGGAAAATGACGCATTTCATGACGTCATAATGCATTGACTAGCCAGAAAATTACGTCATTTTTGATAGATACGCAGTCACCAAAGATCTAAATATTTAATGCATTGTCAACTAAATCCAAGCAGTTTCAGTTTTTCTGAAATTCACAGGGCCAAAAAACGCCCTAAGTGAACCTTGTTCTTTGGAGGCATTTTCCAAACATGGAGTATCTCATAATTAATGGATACCAAATTAGGAGCATCTCGTAATAAGTGTTTGTCGCAGATCTAAGAAACAGCCGCACATATGTTGCTTTAACAATAATTGTTTGAATTTCTATTAAGGGAAACTAATTAAATGTTTAACCATTAAAGTATTTATGAAAAATAAACAGTTGTCTTCTTCAAATTCTGATTTTCCTTACTTTTTTCAAAATTATACTATTTCATATAAAAATAAATTCTAACACTTGTAAATAAAACCTTGGGTACGACTTGACTTCAAATTTGGGTACAAGTTGACTTTTTGGGTACAACTTGGTTTCGGTATGACTCTGTTTGGGTACGAGTTGACTGGATACCCATTTAAACTAGCTAGCCTGAGTCTTAAAATGACTAGCCCGGGCATTGGGCTACTGCATAACCAATATAAATTGTATAGAATTATGTAAATTAATGTAGTCTACTTGATTACCAGGTATTATTGAAATCAGAACAAAACTGTAGGAGTAGCATTTTGAAAGAATTTCACAGAAATTTCTATTTATAGTAACCATGGCAACACCATTCTTTGAAATCAAAAACAATACACAGAATAATGTACATGTATCTTAGTGTAGACTACTTGTGTATCAGCTAGGTTTCATTAGAATCAGACCAAAACTGTAGGATAAATAGCATTTGGAAAAATTGCTTACAGATGAACAGACAGATACTGTGAAATCACTATTTTTCATGGGGGTTTAATTTTCATTTTTTCCGTGATGAGAAGAGACCCACAAATTCATGTCCACCAGCAATGTAAATTTCACACGTTTTTTCCTGAAACCACGAAAATTTGACCCCATGAAAATATGTGATTTTACAGTAGATGGACAAAATCTTGCTATTGCTTAAGCCCTTCCTTTGACCAGTATGGCTAAAAAGTTACAAAAATATCCACATCAATGTTGACCTTTGAATTGGAATCATTAGTCAACGTCACTTTAAACCCTTAGAACTACAGTAACTGTATACCACCTTATATATGACTTCCTTTTTTTTTTTTTTTACAGTAAACTACTGTAAATCACCAGCTGAAAACCTTTCCAGATTATTAATATTCGTGATCAACCTTTTCAGTTTCATAAAACATGGCATAGCCAGTGACTATGAAGTTTGCAAAAACTAATATCTGTGAGAATGAGTTGCTCACAAATGTTGCAAATATTTCTCATTCGGGTAAAAAAAGTTGTTATGGTACATACAGTGTACTTAGGTGAGTGGTCTATTATTTTCTGGCCATTGGTTCTAGATTTTTGAACAATCCCACATTATTTTCACTATTTTTTTTTTTCATTATCTTAAATAATGAAGGATTGTACATAAGTCCTCTGGTACCTAAAGTTTAGACCTGGAGTAGCCAATGGTGTCTGATAACAATATGTAGCTGTTTGAATTATGATAATTAGCATCATGTATATGTTTCGGAATTAGGAAGACCAAAATTAGAAAATTGTTAGATAAAGGAAATTGTTATATTGCTTTTTTCTTTATGACAAAATAATACATGATTTAGTGTGATTTTAAACCATACAATATTATTTAAATATTTTGTAATTGGGTGATTAAGAGAAAAAATCTGTATTTTTCACTTGGAGAATGAAACTGATTATTTCCACCCCAAGCAGAACTTGACAAAAAATGGTAAACTAAGTTTAAAATCAATCAGGGATTATATATTTGGTGGAAGGATGGCGTAAAAAATATCATGTTCTACTCTTAACAATTTTTGATGTTAATGTCAAGGAAAAACATAATGACCTTGACCTGATCTTCCTGCTAAAATAAAATGGTCAAATCTAATTTAATTGATAACTTCACTTTGTGATATATTGTCTTCTTGATTCTGTGAAAATTTCATTAATTTTTAAATACAATAAATATGAGAATAAATTCTTTAAAGCTCAATGTAAAATTAGCTATACACACAGGACTGATGCTAACAAAAGTTTTCACCCTGCCAAAGGTCTTCTAGCCCAAGAATTTAATTTCTTTTTCAAAAATTATTTTTATTGGTGAATGTAAAACCAGAGGCCTGTTCAACAGTGCGAACATTTGCAAGTACTCGCCAAAGTTCCTTATTCCTCCAACAGAAATGTTCACAAGCGCTCACAAACATTCGCTCTGATGAACAGTCTCCTGGCTGACAAGTGGCAATCCCAAGAATCTCAGCTCTAACTGACAAGTTCTGCCACTTTGCTTATTACTGGTTACTGGGAGAATCTGTCAATTTGAGACAGATTTTTTTAATCAATGTAAATTTTTAATTAATTAGTGACAATTTTAATGTCCAGTTTGGTGTTGATACATTCAAGCAAATTTGTTCCCCTGCAATAAGATTTATATGTCTCAGGCATTTCGAACACTAGCTACAATCCGAATACATTTGAATACAATTTACTCAAATATATATATATATGTATATATATATATATATATATATATATATATATATATATATATATATATATATATATATATATATTCTATCTCCTCTATAGAATAAAATTGTAAAAAAAAAAAAAAAAAAAAAAAAAAAAAAATCGAGAAAAAATCCAAATAAACTCACTTGAAATTTTCTTCTTATGAACCACATAAAGGAACCTTTTGCATAGAAGTTACATGTCTGTAACTGAGAGATTTATTAAAAACTTCAAAATTAAAATACTAACTCCTGATAGTAGAATCGATCTGCAGGCTCTGTAATTCCATGCTCTTTCATTTTTTTATTGATGTAAAGATTTTTCCACAAAGCTGTCTCATATAGTTCCTCTCTGGTCTGAAATGCCCATGGTTTAGCTTTTTTAATCACTGGATCATTTATGGCTAAGTTATCTACAAATAAAAAAATTCAAATGTTTTAATTTGTGACAATAAATAAATCCATATATTATACATACATGTACTATCTCATGTATTACAAGCCAGAAATTATTTTTTATTTACTTTGATATCCTTTCACACTGTAGCAGAATATCATTTTGGTATCCTTTCACACTGTGAGAAAATATCTCATTTATTCAATAAATAAATCACAGTAATTCACTGTTGAAAATGTAATAAATAAACAGAAAATTCAATGTTTTGTAGTTGGATATTGAATTTATTTTACAAGTGGGACAGGATTTTTTTGATATTTTCATGAGTGTGAAGCACAAGTGAAAATATAAAAAAAATACTCTCCCACTTGTAAAATAAATTCAATATCCAGGTACAAAACATTGAATATCCTCTATATATTATATTTTGTTTTATTTTCCTTTTGCCTCTGACTTTACATAACATAGTGTCATAGGCGGTGACGACATAGTTGAGCAGTTGAGATGTCATAGCTTAACAGTTGTGAGATTGAAAACATTACAACATGGATTTTAGCAACATATTTGGGAAGAAATTGACAGTATTAGTCTCTATCAAGATGGTTTAGTTACTATCTCTATCTTAATTATGACAGGCCAGAAATTATTTTTTACTTACTTTGATATCCTTTCAAACTGTGAGAGAATATCACTTTGGTATCCTCTCACAATGTGAAGAATATCACTTTTATTTAATAAGTAAATTACAGTATTTCACTGGTGAAAATGTAATAAAATCCAGATATCACTGTCTGTGATCATATATGTATCCTAATATTGCTCTCAAGTAAATGAATATCTAAATGAAGAATCGGGTTATTAAAAACACTGGATTTACATATAGACTTACTTGCTCCTAATTTAGTGCAAAATTATAGAGATATTAAACATTTCTAAAAGCTTACTTATCTTCTTATGGTTTAAATTATATATACTGTAAATATAGTTTTTTTCCACAGGGTCATAATTATGTGGAATCACCATTTCTGTTCAACGTGAAGGTGGAAAATTATGTGGATTTATTTGACTGCCATTGTTTATCTTAAATGCACTTTAAGGAGGCTGGGGGGTCAACAAATTAACCATCAGATATAACTTAATTTTATAGAAATGATATCTTAAGCTGTCAACTATCATTGGCAAACAAAAATTTCATACATTTTAGTTTTAAAATTTGATCATTTTTGTATATCTTTACATGGAGCTCTTCTTCTAAAGGAGATCAATATAGTCTGAAAATGGCCATAACCACCCAGTCCTCTTAAGTACCCTGTGACAAATTTCTGCTGAAAATTTGTGACCCCATACATAATGAAAATTAATTCTACATTGCACATGGAAAAAAGTATGTCTACAGAATTTAAAAATTGAATAATGTTAAGTATGCAAAAATTCATGATCATCATGAAATCAATTGAAGGGAGCCAGGAAAAAGTATTTTTAGAAATTATCCAGTTTAAAAGATAGTCCCAAATGTCAAGTGACAGCAGTACACTGTATAGAGCTAAGACATTTTTTCATTAAAGTAAAAACTATTTTCTTTATCATACTTAAAGTTCAGAATTCTACTGAGATGGATTAGGGTGATCAACTATAGAAGTCATATAGATTCCTGAGAAATTATATACCTGGAAAAACTTTATGCGCCAATCAATCCATCACTATCAAAACATATCCTGGACAACCAGAACCGAAACAGACAGAGACTTCGTAATGTTTAAAGATTTACATCGCAGCAAAACTCCAGCAAGAATATACAAATTCAACTTTTCTTTTGATGAAACCAGATTGATAAATTTTTTGTAAAATTACAGACTGTTATACCTCAGTTATTCCAACAAGTGTGTGTGAAAAAATATATAGCAATCCCTTCCAACATGCTGTGTTGTGGTGTTCCACCAAATTATCTCATATGTGTGATTATGACTTGTATCATTACTAAGTGGCCTTCCAATGTTAACATTGAATGACAAACATGATCATAGAGAATTCATTTGTTGTTGGGCAAAGTTTATCTGCAAAGCCTCTGCCTTCTTTTGCAGGGCTTCCACTTAATCATAATTTTTCCCTGTATCTTACTGATCTTATGAATACATTGTATGTATATATTTCCTTTTTCTTTTTGTCCATTAACAATATAATGAACTAACATTACATAATACATTAATATAACATGTAAATTATGTGTTGTAAAATCCCTGAGAAGGGGAAATTAAGGACATACGCAATGTAGTTTGAATTTTATTGTCTTTTCCCCTGGAGTTGAAGAGTTCCAATACTTAAAGGAACTGTGTGCTACATTTGAATGTCTATATATGCTGTTGTACACTTCTTCTAAAACATGTTTGGATAAATAAAACATATAGAATGTAAGTTTAGTAATTTTTATATATTTTTCTTTGAATTATACAAGAATTTTCATCAGTTGATATCTTTTCAAAACCCCTGGTTATGCATGCTGATTTTTTGTCTATGAACATCTGATGGCACTATAATCATAAATTAAGAATATCTTGAAAAATTATCAGTAGGTAAGGTACGTTGCGTATGTCCTTAAGGGCTAGTTAAGCCTAGTTGTATTTGGCATGCTGACGCACCTGCACAACAGATTCTGTTTGTAAAAAATTATCACTTATATGACATAACATGCATAAGGCACGATATTCTACTCCTGTATCAATGTTTACACACAGGTAACCTGATACCCACATCAACACTGCCACTGATAATCATACATGTAGTACTGAAATGTTTTCGTGAAATCAGTCAAAAAAAGGTCATCAGACATTTTTATTGAGGGGGCACTAACATACAGTAGCTATGTTTTCTAGAATAATCCATATATCGGCAAAATTATTGGGGGGGGGGGGGGGGCAAAAATCGATGTATCTATTTTTGGAAGAGGAGGATATTACTTTATGGTAATAGAAAATGAAGGCCACAGGAGATCATATAAACAAGAGGCCCATGGGCCACATCGCTCACCTGAGTACATTGCCTTGGCAAAAGCACAAATCAGTTCAGTATTGAAAAGATTACTGGGGGGGGGGCTTGAATTTTAAACTACCTGATGATGCTTCCATGTCAATATAACAAATGGCTTTGTTGTACTTGAGAAGATTTTAAAAAAAAATTCCCATATATTCCTTTGTAAAAATTTGATCCCCCATTGTGGCTCCTCCCTATCCCAGGGGTCATCATTTGAACAGACTTGAATCTGCACTACCTGAGGATGCTTCCATATCAATATGACTAAACATAGCTTTTCTGTTTTTGAGAAGAAATATTTTTCCTATATGTTCTTATGTAAAATTTTTGATCCTGCATTGTGGCCCGACCTTATCCCAGGGGGTCATCATTTTAACAAACTTGAATCTACACTACCTGAGGATGCTTCCATATCAAAATGACTAATCATGGCTTTGCAGTTCTTCAGAAGAAGAAATTTTCCTATATATTTCTATTTAAGACTTTGATCCTCCATTGTGGCCCCACCCTACCCCCGGGGTCATGATTTGATCAAAATAGAATCTACATTACCTGGGGATGCTTCCATATAAATATGATCAATCAGGGCTTTGCTGTTTCTGAGAAGAGGATTTTTAAAGATTTTTCCTATATATTTCTACGTAAAACTTTGATAGTCCATTGTGGCCCTGCCCTACCCCCAGGGGTCATGATTTGAACAAACTTGAATCTACACTACCTGAGGATGCTTCCATATAAATGACTCATCATGGCTTTGCTGTTCTTGAGAAGAAGATTTTTTAAGATTTTTCCTATATATTTCTATGTAAAACTTTGATCCTCCATTGTGGCCCCTCCCTACCCCTGGGGGTAATGATTTGAACAAACTTGAATCTACACTACCTGAGGATGCTTCCATATAAATATGACTCATCATGGCTCTGCTGTTCCTGAGAAGATTTTTTTTAAGGTTTTTCCTATATATATCTATGTAAAACTTTGATCCTCCATTGTGGCCCCGCCCTACCCCCAGGGGTCATGATTTGAACAAACTTGAATCTACACTACCTAAGGATGCTTCCACATGAGTTTCATCTTTCCTGGCCCTCTGGTTCTTGAGAAGAAGATTTTTAAAAGATGCTATTAATTTTTCACTAATTCTTTATTATCTCCCCTTGAAAGAGGGTGTGGCCCTTCATTTGAACAAACTTGAATCCCCTTCACCCAAGGATACTTTGTGGCAAGTTTGGTTGTAATTGGCACAGTAGTTCTGGAGAAGAAGATGAAATTGTGAAAAGTTTACAACGACGACACCGACGACAACGACAGACAACGGACAAATTTTGATCAGAAAAGCTCACTTGAGCCTTCGGCTCAGGTGAGCTAAAAAGTATTTAGAGCCATGCTAAAAGACATGCAATCGGGCTTGATGTTACTTTTGATATGAAAGTAAGCGACAATGCCTCAATGAGGTAAAATCAGTGTCATTGAAGTGTTTAATGACAGGGAAAAGTACCAAGAAAAACATGGGATGAGATGGTTGTACGAACATGCAGGTGTGCCAAATACAATTAGCCAAATAAAGATGGAATACTGCATGGTGCTAATTTGTTTATTTCTTGATACATATTACATATTTATTTAAAATTGAAAGCAGTATCAGCTAATTAAATATATTATTTTATGTATAGTCCATGATATTAGTATGAATGTGCGTATAGTCATATTCTTGTGACTTTTTGTCTATTTCTTGTAAAAAAAAGTATTTGTAAAACAAATAAATAGCTTTATAAAGTATTTTGAACACATTAAAAAGCTATATAGGCTAACTTATGCAAGCTACACAGCTAAATCAAGACACTGGTCGGACCTACTCTATATAACACGGCCTGCCTAATTGAAGACCTACAGGTAATTAAAGACCTACGGAAGACCTAGGGAAGACCTACAAAAATATGGGCTATATACAGCAAAACTAATGTGATATTCTGATTTATCATGTCTTAAATCTATAAAATACACAAAAAGTTTTATAAAAAGAAGTTTTAAAGTGTATTTTTCAAGCTCGGTATGGGGAACTATTTCTTCTCTCAGACGATCTATCGCAAGAACGGTAACTCTGGTTGACTTTAAATTGAAAGGAAATGAAAACAGAAGTTCTTAAACTTACACTGTTTGACCTTTCTTTAAGATAAGAACAATATATGTCAGGAAAAATAAATATTAACTGAAAATAAATATTAACTGAAATAGGAATATAATAAGACTTTTAAGTGGAATTCTATGAAATATAAATTAACATGACAATTTAAAATCTACAGAATTAATCAATGAATTTATGGATAGCAGCAAGAAATAGTGCAATATATTCTGTCTGTTATTTACATACAAAGTATACAAATTCATTTTATAAATTAAACAAGTAACATGCATGTAATCACTTAAATGAAATGCATGCATATTTTGAACAAATTATTATTTTTTGCTGTTCAGGGTCAGTGAAATACAAGAAGATTTTGTAAGTGATTGTGGCTCTGATCTTTAAGAAAAATTACTTCAGATTTTTTAAACTTAACTTTTAACACTCTGTCAAAAGCATAAACATATTTATTTCAATTATAATATTTAAATTTGTACATTGATATACCAAAATAATTTTGAAAATAAATTTAAAAAAAGAAATAAAGGAATTTGTTGAAAAGAGTCCACTCATAGGATCTGGAAACTTGTTATAACAATTCAATAATTCATTTAAAAACATACATATACATGTATTTAATGATTGATCAAATTATGGTAGTATATATAAATTTATGTACCGGTATATGTGTCTGCTTTGGTTAAGTTTTTTTGTTTTTATTTTTATTTTATTTATTTATATTTTTTTCACAAAATAAAATAATATCTAATTGAATATTCCCTTTTATTATTTCATCTTTGATGTATTTATTTTTAAATATCTTCAATGATTCTATTTTTCCTCATTTAACTATTGATTTATTTACATTTTTCTGATATGTTTTGGTGAACAGCTGATTTGTTATTTACGCGAGTTATCGTTCTTGCGGTAGGTCGTCTGAGAGAAGAAATAGTTCCCCATACCGAGCTTGAAAAATACACTTTAAAACTTCTTTTTATAAAACTTTTTATGTATTTTATATATTTAAGACATGATTAACCAGAATATCACATCAGTTTTGCTATATATTGCCCATATTTTTGTAGGTCTTCCCTAGGTCTTCCGTAGGTCTTCATTTACCTGTAGGTCTTCAATTAGGTATTCCCATATAACATGAATTGTATATGATGTAAAAATGATGTTAAAAAAAAAAAGTACATCTAAATCAAGACACTGGTCGGACCTGGTCCAGATATAACGTGATTTGTATATGAATTATGATGTAAAAATCATTAACTAAAAGTATTGTTATTTATTGTAATTTTATGAAATTTGACTCTCTGTCTGCTTACAATGTTGAACTACAACAGAGACATGAATAATTTATGTAGGCATGTAAGTTCAAAGTCCAACACATCGAAACGTTCTTAAAAATGACATGGAAATAAGTTGAGTTGTCAACAAAAAAAACTTACGTAAATACCGTCTTCTTTTAACTTTCTCTGAACCTCTATATATAAAATTTGTAAGTTGTTCAACGTCAAAAGTAGAGTTTCTTCTTTCTCTAGCAAGATCCGAATTTACTCTTTCCATGGTCGCCATCTTTGGTTGGAGAGTCGATATTAATTAACTCATACATAGATGACGTCGTGTCACTACTTCTTGAACTCTCTACACTTGGCTACATGTTATCTTGCACACATAGTAAAATAATTGGGACATTTTGAGTCCAAATCAATTCAATACCTCGACAAAGCTCCAGTCAAGTCAAAATCACGTCTATTTATTTAGAGGACTCCTGTGTTTAGAGATACTGATCTAAATTTCACTGTCTTCTGTGAAAAAAGTACATCCTTTCCATTTCATGGCTTAAACAGTTAAAACCGTGATTTGCATCAGTACATACTTTTGTATTTCTCTCTCTATATATATAAAATATGTTAGACGGTGCGACTCTTAGTGAGGGCGGTGTCATCAACGGATCAAGAGCGCATTTCTACATTTTAATGATAATAAAATTAAAATACTATTTATTAATGATAAGTGTTATAAGAGAACCACAAAGAACTCTGCCTTTCAAAAGGACCCCCCTTCTCCCAACTGTCATTCAAATAATGTTTATAATTAGTCTTAATAGGTCTGGAATACCCTTTATTCAGATATTTCATCACGAGTTGCCTTGCCAGGACACTATTTCAGCTATCAAATAGAAAAGGGAAGGGGAAATGCGTACGGACCAGACCAGACCAGGACTAAATGTTGACCCAGGCCCCAGTGCTCGAAATTTTCCCTTCCAACTAAGTATATATCTGTCCAACAGTGAACGAACCTGCCTAGATGAACATCATACCTCAAGTTCGCCTTCATGACTACATGTGCATTTAAAGACACCAGTTCATAGGTACATATTTACAATTTAAAATTTCTTTGTCCGAGATAAAACTACAAATAGCAAAAATACTTGATTTCTACGTAAAACTATTGGTTCATCGATAGGCGTGGTTTAAATAAAAATCATCTGAGGAGCGGGACGGAGAGAGATAGAAATTAGGTGGGGATTGTAGCACGTGAATTAACGGAATCAAATGCATGTAAATATAAGGAATAACTGTCAGTTTTATGTTGTTATGCCCCTGGATCGAAAGATCCCGAAGGTATATTGTTTTTGTCCTGTCTGTCTGTTTATCTGTTTGTCTGTCTGTCTGTTGTCAACTTTAACCTTGCCCATAACTTTTGATTGGTTGGACCTATGACTTTCATATTTCACATGTGTATTCCTTGTGACAAGACCTTTCTTTGGGTACCATCATATTTGACGTTTTGACCTTGACCTTGGAGTTTGACCCACTTTTGCAAAATTTTATGTGACTTTAACCTTGGCCATAACTTCTGAACAGTTGGTGCTTGGGGTTTCAAACTTCACATGTGTATTCTTTGTGACAAGGCCTTCCTTTGGATACCAAAAACTTTGACCTTTGACCTTGACCTTGGAGTTTGACCTACTTCTGAAAAACTTTAACCTTGGCCATAACTTTTGAACAGTTGGTGCTTGGGGTTTCAAACTTCACATGTGTATTCCTTGTGACAAGACCTTCCTCTGGATATCAACCTCTTCGACCCTTGACCTTGACCTAAGAGTTTGACCTACTTTTGAAAAACATTGACCTTGGCCATAACAGCTAGGGCTTTCATACTTCACATATGTAATCCTTGTGACAAAACCTTCGTTTGGATACCAACCACTTTGACCTTTTGACCTTGACCTAGGAGCTTGATCTACGTTTGAAAAACTTTAAAAACTTTAACCTTGGCCATAACTTTAGAATGGTTGATGCTAGGAGTTTCATACTTCACATATGGAATCCTTGTGACATCACCTTCCTTTGAATACCAACCACTTTCAATTGACCCTTTGACCTTGACATAGGAGTTTGACCTACTTTTGAAAAAACTTTAACCTTGGCCATAATTTTTGAATGGTTGTTGCTAGGGCTTTCGTACTTCACATATGTAATCCTTGTGACTAGACCTTCCTTTGCATACCAACCACTTTGACCCTTTGACCTTGACATAGGAGTTTGACTACTTTTGAAAAAACTTTAACCTTGGCCATAATTTTTGAATGGTTGTTGCTAGGGCTTTCGTACTTCACATATGTAATCCTTGTGACAAGACCTTCCTTTGGATACCAACCACTTTGACCCTTTGACCTTGACATAGGAGTTTGACTACTTTCGAAAAACTTTAACCTTGCCCATAACTTTTAAATGGTTGGTGCTAGGGCTTTCATACTTTACAAATGTAATCCTTGTGACGAGACCTTCCTTTGGATACCAACAACTTTGATCTTGACCATGCATGATGTTTTTCTTACTTTTAAAAAACTTTAACCTTTAACCTTCACCATAACTTTTGAACAGTTGCCGCTAGGGCTTTCAAATTAAACATTTTTTATCTTTTGGCCTGGATTTTGACTTGCATTTGAGAAACTTTAACCTTCGCCATAAGCTGCCATATGGGGGCATCAGTGTTTCACAAACACATCTTGTTTTTTTTTTTTTTTTTTTTTTTGTTTTGGTTTCATGATGGCTTGCGTACGATGGCCGACATCGGCCGCCACTTTCCGATTAAGAATATTGTCATTTTGTACAGCGTTTTTGTCAATTTTCGTTGACAAATTACAACTAAACTGGTAATGCTATATGTACATGTACAATTTTTACACTGACAACTTTCAACAGCGAAAAGCATTAAAATTCTTTCGTGTGGTATGAAATTAAGAAACATAAAACAGGTGACTTGATAGAGATAAGGAGCATTTTAATGATTTTCACTCTTAGTTTGCCTCATGAGATAATCCTAGATGCTAGACGTAAAATTGTCATTTTGAAACCTTTCTTTCTTGTTGTATCATTAAAAAATATTCTTGGGATTGTAATTAAAAAGCGGATAAAAATAATACAATTGTTGTAATGGATATACATCAATTTACTAGGATCTCAGAGTCTATGAGACAGCTCGATTCTACCTTTTATGTAGCTCTACATGAGAGCATCTTGTCTAAAGTTTTTGGAATGTATCAAAAACACTACACTTTTAAAGCAAGAATAAAATGAGAACCTAAATGGGGATTATATTTGCTCTCTAAATATATAAAATTAATAATCAAGTTCTTGAAACACTTTTGAAGGGCCAACGCAGCCTCCAAACTTCCACCTGGTTGGCCAATTATTTTTCAATGTGGCACGACAAAGGAAAACATACCGGTAGGTCACTACTATGATGAATTATCTTGTGCGCATTGTTAAAAAATCAAAATTCATACATCAAAGACATGTCTGATTATAAACAAAAATCAAATTTCTAATACCCAAAAAATTTCATCCTGGATGTGACCTATGATGTGACCAACACGTACACCAACAATGAATTTTATGAATTAATTACTACAATCTGTCGAGAAAGTATATATATCTAGAAGACAATACTAATCTAGAATTTTCTCGATTTTGCAATTCTGCTAGAACCTTAAGCTTATCACTTTCGAGTAACCAGTTTTATGTATCTTTATTTCATATCACATGAAGGAATTTTAATGATTTTCTCCGGTGTAAATTGTCAGTTTATTAATTGTACATGTACATATAACATTACCAGTTTAGTTGTAATTTGTCAACGAAAATTGACAAAAACGCTTTACAAAATGACAATATTCTCTATCAAAAGTGGCGGCCGCTGTCGGCCATCGTACTTGCGCGATGATTTTATGCCTGATAAATTTTATGCTATGACACATTCACAAAGTAAGTCCAGGATATAAGGTAAAACTAACCTTTTATAAAAATTCACACTCTATAATATTCTATAAGAGAACGTTCTCTTATAGTTTTACAAACAGACAAATGTTTTCTATAATAGATGGCCACGGCATTACATGTAAGTAGTCACAACACGACAATTTCAAGATTGTATATCTAAATTCTACGTTACACCAGTTAGGCAAATGTTCAACTAACAAACGAGAATAACAAGCTTATCTTTTAAAAAAGATAGGTGAGCTAGCGCTTTAGCCATCATAAAACACAGAAGTAGATATCTGAACCCCTTGTTAAGTTGCTGAATCGATTAATTATTAATAAGCTCAGTGGTGCACTGGGGTGGTGAAAGCGGGGGGGGGGGGGGGGGTCTCAATTCAGAATAAATGGTGAATCTAAAGTGGGCTTCACATCGGCAATCATATGGCATGTCATTAACTGTGCTTTAACAATTCTGTAACTTACTGTCATTTCAATTTTGAGGTGAAATATAAGAGATCAGGAGAACCTAGGTATGGGCACCTAGTTTAAAAAAATCCAGTGTAGTACTGTTTTGTAGCAATCGCATCTTCTCCGGTCTTTTCGGTAACATAAACAAGTTGATTAAAATTAGATCCTTTGATCCGCTCACATAGATCGCTGCACAAGGCCGAGATTTTAATCAGGTTGGCAACATATATATCTGAGATTGTTTTCCGAGCTTGCCAGAAAGAAGTTAAGAAAAACTTGGTTATTTTGTATTCTTTTAGAATTAACCGATCTCTTCAGTCTTGGCATTATAAGACCTAAGTATAACTGTTACTTTTTTAACATTTGTATACAGCTTAGACAACAAAGCACAAAACTTCAGATCATATGTATTTTCAGATAATAAAACGAAATTCAAATGGTACAGTTTATCTACAGTTGTATTCCCAGAATGCCCTACCGTGAAGTCAAGCATGCGTATTCCAGGAAAATAGACTAAGGTAGTTGACGTTGCGCACGGTGTTGGTACTATAAAATCTGACTCTTTAGATGTCGTAAAGAAACTGGCGTTTTCAAGATGTTAAAGTTACTAGAAATTAAAAATGAAATTAATTATTTTATCCAAGGTGATAAATTATTCTAAAAATTCTCTTTTTAATAATCTAAAAATATCTTAGCTATGATATGGCTTTATTCATTATTGGTTATTACGGCGAAATTCCCGTGTCCAACGTTACATAAATTATTGTTCGAGCAACTACAAGATATAAAAAGATCCACTTCCAATCCTCTAAATTAAATAAAATTTAGGAAATATAA